GTGGCTCAACATCAGTGGGAATGAGCCGCAACATGTTGATCTTTCATTACTGACGCATGATGTACAGGACTTGCGTGAGAGGGTCACTGAAACTTAGGGCAGAATTTAACACCTTAGAGGACACTGGCCCACAAGTTTAACTATTTAGGAGTTAAGGTTCAGCTCTCTCTCTCTCCTCTTTCGTTGAGAATAACTTGGTTCCAGTGATCGAACCCTTCAATTAAAAAGGAAACAGTGGAATGATTTATCCTTGGATCTTATGGGATGGGTCAATATTATTAAGATTATTATTTTGCCTAAACTATTTTATATATTATGACTAGCTCTCAGTGTTACATCCCACTGAAATATTTCTGTAAAATTGATTCAGTATCAGTATTACATTTTTATGGCAGGGGCATACTCCTCATGTGGCTCTGGAGGTGTTACAGCTTCCTCATTCTCTTGCAGGTTTGGCCTTCCCCAATATTCATTTGTATTATTTGGCCACCCAGCTGGTGGTGATTGCCTACTCCCTCATGTGGGAAACGCCTGTGAAGCGACTGAGGCTGCCATACTTCTTTTGAATCTCTCCAAAATGTTATCTATAGGAGTGTTTCTGGCTTATGTTCAGGCACTGCCCTTATTTCTGTGACACTTTGTTTCCTTAAATATGTCATTAGTTGGCCGTCCTGTGGATGTTTGGTCCCACTCCCCATACTTGCCTCTCTGTGGTAATCCTTCCTTTCCGGAGCTGCAGAGCCTGCCATCAGCTGCCCTTCTGGTCCTCGAAGGGAATCAAATCCCTCTCTCATCTATTTAGGAATGCAGTAATGCTTACTTTTTCGCAACTCAGAGAGGAGTCACAGATTTCTCCTGGCATTTTTCAATTGCTTCATGCAGTTAAAGCCAAATTTGGGTCGACTTCTCTAATTCCAATCCAGTCTCCTCTAGAAAAAATGTTACGTTGAGATATCTCCACTAACCTGGTCTCAACATATTATGTGGAACTTATGGCCACTAGATTTTCCATATTTGATAAGCGTAAACAAAAATGGTAGGCACTTATTCCGGACCTTGATGTGGATGGAGTGATTTTGAAAATACGTATATGTCTTCTGTGATTGCCTCCAGAGATAGAATATTGCAAGTGAAATTTTTTAATGAGTTCTATTATACCCTGTCCCTTCTATATACTTTGAGTCTGCGTCCCAACCCACGGTGCTTTAAACGCTGTGATCAGAGCAGATTTTTTTTCACTCCTTTTTGGTCTTGCCCACATATATGTGCCTTTTGGTCTGAAGTTACCTTTTTATGAAGACTGGTTTGGGTTTCCCCAATATATGCAATCCCACCTTTTGCCTATTGGGTCTTTTTGGTGAACTGATGTTGGATTCTGGGGCTCAGACCCTCATCTGGTTCTATGCCACCTTCTCGTGTGGGGTAGCCCTAGGGCTCCTTCTCTGAGTTGCAGGAAACGTTTGGTTTATTAATCCTTGTCTCTATTTATAAGCTTACCTATAATCCGCAGCACTTTGATTTGTATTTGGGGACCATGGTCATGTGCTGCATTGAACTTTGTAATTTAGTATAATACCCTGGAGTTCTTGTTTACCCGGGAGTTCTTGTTTTCCTTGTGAATTCTATTGAGTGCACTGTAAGCTGATGCTAAATCTTGCATTTATGTACTGAGACTGTCTGCAACTTGATATTTTTTTGGCTTCTAAGTGTGTTACTGGGTATGTTGACCTGGTTTTCCCTTTGTGAGTTTGTTTTGTAAAAATGTTGATACTAAAAATCTTTAAAAAAAAAAAAAAAAGATTGGCGAGTTCTCTATAGTCTCTGTCATGGTGGGTGGGAAAGTGACAAGAGATTCAGGGTTTTGGGAATTATCTCTTTATTATAGCCCTAAATCATATTTATTTTGCTAGGTGCAATAAAATTGCCTAATCTTTACTATGAACATGGGCTTTCAATAGGGGATCCTACTGGAAGATAAATAAAAATGTATCAACTATGTTCCTAGTATTAGCACGTTGGAACGTATAATTATTGTTAAAGGACTAATTATTGCTATCCTTTCCACTTTCCCATCATTTTGGCTACAAGTATTCACTTTGTGTTTTTTGTTTTGTTTTTTAATACATTTTCTATGAGAAATTGTAGGTATATATTTTCATAAAATGGTCTTTAAATTAATGCTCCGTTTGTAATGAGTACTAATGTAATGTAGGCAGCTATTTGTATACAGATTAGAATACCCATTTTTTGGTAAAATATAAAAGATGGGGTTACATTAAGTAGATACAAAACATACGGAGCATTAACAGTGCGTGCGCCTGTGCAATGGCAAAACATCATGGTACTCAAAATTGTTCATAGGCGAAGTTTAAAAGCCTCTACTGCTCTTCAGTTTAGAGCTGACAGCAAATTATGGACCTTAAATTATTGCTCCGACGTTCACGGCGATACCTAACATGTATGGTGCAATCATCGTTTAGGTACACATACAACCACTTGCAGCTGGCAAGCTCAGTATGCCATACGTCGGTTGCTTTCTCCCTTCTGCTATAAGCTCAAAAGTTATAAGCTTAACTTTTAACAGGAAGGTTCCGCTGACGGTCCTCTGTAAACTTAAAAGCGGCCATTAGTGGATGACAAGCCGCTGATGACTGCTATTAACAAAATACCCCCCACCGTCACCACCATCATTTCACAGCATCCCTGCCTCTCCTTCCCACCTGGCTGCTGCAGCGTTGGCTGTTCATGTACAAGTGATCCAGCGTCCATACAGCCGCCGGATCATTTGTACTGAGCGG